CAAGAGCATTCCGCTCTTCATCCGGCTTGTCCTCAAGAGAAGCTACTTTACTAGAGCCCAACTGACCTGGGAGAACAGAAATACCTAGCTCCAGCCCCCTCTAGCCCTCCTGTCCCACCCAAGGGTGGAAAGAAACTGAAAAGCAGTGGTAAAGTTCATAGCCCAAGGGCACAGGCTCACTAAAAGACAGACCTGGGCTGGTCGAAGTGGCTCAAGCTTGTAATCCCAGCATTTTGGGAGGCTGAGGCAGTTGGATCACCTGAGGTCAGGAGTTTGAGACCAGCCTGGACAACATGGCACAACCCCGTCTCCACTAAAAATACAAAAACAGCCCTGCATGGCTGCACATGTCTATAGTCCCAACTACTTGGGAGGCTAAGGCAGGAGAATCACTTGAACCATGGAGGTGGAGGTTGCAGTGAGCTGAGATGGTGCAGCTGCACTCCAGCCTGGGTGGTGACAGAACAAGACTCCATCTCAAAAAAAAAAAAAAAAAAAAAAAGACTGAGACCCAATCATGAAAGCTATGGGACACTCCTCCTCCCCACACTTTAATGCCACATCACGAAGGGCCGATTTATCAGAGTTCCTTTTACCTTGTGGTACATGGTTTTCTTGTTCAACAACAACAAAAATGTTACAAGGTACACTAAAAAGCAAAATGCACAGTTTAGAGAGACAGCGCAAGCATTAGAACCAAATTCAGATATGTCAGGGATGGTACAATTAACAAACCATGAATTTGAAGCAACTCTGAATGAAACGCCAAGGCACTCATGAAAATGTAGACAGCATGCAAGAACAGGTGATGATGAACAGAGAGATGAAAATTCTAAGAAAAAAATCAAAAAGAAATGCTAGAGTTCAAACACTAACTGAAATGAAGAATGCCTTTGGTCTCATTAATAAACTGGACACAGCTGAGGAAAGAATCACTGAGCTTGAGGACATGTCAATAGGAACTCCTAAAACCGAGAAGAAAAGAAAAAAGACAGGGGAAGGGACAGAATATTCAAGAACTGTGAGATAACTACAGTAGGTGTAACATACGTGAGACGTGAATACCAGCTGGAGAAAAAGGAACAGAATAGATGAACCAATGTTGAATGAGAATTTCCCCAAATTAATGTCAGACACCAAACCTGGGATCCAGGAAGCTCACAGAACATTGAGCAGGACAAATGCCAAAACAAAATGAAATAAACCAAGCCAAAACAGAAATATACCTAAATATATCATAGGCAAACTGCAGAAAGAAAGACTGTGGCCCTGACTTCTACCTGGAAAATGAGGAGGAACTGAAAAGCTTAAAGTAGCTAGGCCTGGTGGCTCATGCATCTACTCCCAGCACTTTGGGAGGCCAAGTCGGGAGAATTGCTTGTGGCCAGGAGTTTGAGACCAGCCTGGGCAATATGGTGAAAACCCATCTCTACAAAAAATAAAAATTAGCCGGGCATGGGAATACACAACTTAGTCCCAGCTACTCCGGAAGCTGAGGTCGGAGAACGGCTTGAGGCTGGAAGGGAAGGCTGAGGTTGCAGTGAGCACACATCAGTCTCTCCAGCCTGGGCAACAGAGCAAATCCCTGTAGAAAAAGAGGGTGGGGAGGAGGAGGGGGTGGGGAGAGGGGAAGAAAGGGAGGGAGAGAGGGAAGGAAGGAAGGAAGGAAGTAAGGAGAGAGAACCAGAAACTTACCATGCCCCTGTCCTGATGAGAGGTCTCATCGGCCAAGGTAGGGATGACATCAGACAAGGAATGTTGGGAATTTCCCATGGTACCTGGTGCCTGGAAGCCACTGGATCCATAGTTTCCACTTAATCTCTTTTATAAATCAACCTCTCTGCTCCTGGGACCATCACCCTTGGCGAGGCCGCAGCCTCAGTTCCAGGTGAAGGCGGCCCAGGTCACAGCCCGATTTCCGAACGCAAGTGGCGGAACTCAGCGTTGTGCAGAGGATGGGAGACCCCCTCTGGCTTCCTGGCCCTGGGTCCCCACCTTGATGGCAACGGGTGCCGGTGGGTTCGCTCCTGCTGGACGACAACCGCCTCCTGCGGCGGCTTGTCAATTCCTCACACCCCTCTCCGCACTCGCCGCCTCGTAAAGGCCCTAAGGGCAGGAGAACAGACTGGAGTGTTGCTGGTGGGAGTGCCCCGCGGGGAGACTCTTGGAGCAAAAACTGGGGAGAGCTGATGCTGCCTCGCATCGGGCATTGGGGAGCGGGCTGCAGCGCTCCAGCCCGGCTTGGTCGGCTTGGTGTCTGGAGCCTTGTTGGGCCTGGAGGGGCGGGCGGTGCTGCCCGCAGCCCTCCGGGGAAGCAGCGGCTGCCTGGACAGGATTCCGGACAGCTCCCGAATTAATCACAGAATAAGACATAGAAGTTACAGAGAATGACTTGAAGAATTAATTGCTTCCTTAAATGACAGACCATTGTATATCCTAAATTGTTTTAAAAATGCATTGATTGGCCGGGCGTGGTGGCTCACGCCTATAATCCCAGCACTTTGGGAGGTGGAGGTGGGCGGATCACAAGGTCAGTAGTTCGAGACCATCCTGGCCAACATGGTGAAACCCCCGTCTCTACTAAAAAGTACAAAAATTAGCTGGTTGTGGTGGCGAACACTTGTAATCCCAGTTACTTGGAAGGCTGAGGCAGGAGAATCACTTGAACCCAGGAGGCAAAGATTGCAGTGAGTGGAGATCATAACACTTGCACTCCAGCCTGGCAACAGAATGAGACTCCAACTCAAAAAAGAAAAAGAAACAATGCATTGATTACTAAAGCATGTATGCATTTTCATGAAAAGAGCTCAAACTGTGCCAAAATGGTTAAATGAAGTTTCTTGTTTTATCCCCCTTGAAACCTTGTGAGCTAATATCATTAGCTCCATTGTAAGGTAGAAAATCCTGTTGTTTGAACTTAAAAATGTATCCAAAACCATCCACATCTGGCCACCTCCTTTATTTTTCTCCTGGTACACATGCCATCATTCTCTCACCTGAATTGCTACAGAACCTCCCCAGCGAGGCAGCAGCCAGAGAGGTTCTATCAAAAAGCAGGGCAGATCCCATCTCCCTCGCTGGAAACCCTAACTCCTCAGGCTGGCCCACGAGGCTCGGGAGATGTGGGCAGGCTTCTGTGGGCCATCTCTCCTTTTCTCTCCCTGGTTCTCCCACTCTGGAACTCATGCTCCCCCTTTGCTCAGCTGTCCTCTCCAGAACACTTTGAATCTTACTGAAACCAAGGGCTAACCTAATTAAGGCCTCAAACATACGTGCCTTGCTTGCTTTTAGTTACTCACTTGCAGTTGAGTTTAAAATCCATATAGCTAAGTCACACAGCCAAACAATACATAATTAGACCCCCACTGGCCTCCATAGAGATAACATCTGTGACTGTATGCCACTGTGGTAATGGTTGCTTGAAGTTGCTTCAGGAACTAAGGGGAAGATCTTGTCCAGTCCAAACAGGTTGGAACCACTGACCCTACAAACAGGCCTGCACGAATGCCCATGAGGTAACCTTTTGACAGAGTGCCAAAAGCTCCTCCCTTGGATCATGGTAACCTCACCATCTTCTGAACATGCATCCTATGAAGAGTCATGAACCCCAACTATGCTTGTGCACACCACTGACAACCTCATTTTCCCCCAATGCAAATTACCTTTCCCCATGGCTGGGACCACCTTGTTTCTCCATCCCATAAATATTCCTGAAACCCCATCTTTGAGGAAGTGGATTTGGAAGGTGTTCTCCTACCTCCTTGCTTGGCTGCCTCCTGAATAAACTCTTCCCCTTTTGTAAAACCTGTTTTCACAGTGATTGACTTGCTGTGTGTGGCTGGTTCAGTATCCGTATCAGATTCCAAACTCCCCAGGGCTGGACCATGTCCAGTCCTTCACCATTGTGTGTTCATGCCCACATGGTACCCAATATTTCATGGGCTCTCAGGAAGTGATGCTGGTCTCTTGTGAGGGAGTGATTGAATGGAGATTTTGGTCCAGTGTTTTCAAGGAGGTATTTGTAGAAGACATTGAACAAAAGATTATTCCCCAAGTCCCTCCAGGGTACCCTATGATGGAATCTTGATTGAAGTCCACCCCTGCCATTATCTCTTCCTCACACCTCACTCCCAATGGTGTCAATGATAAAGAATAAATCTGCCCCCAAAAGTCCTTAATTGCATGGAATGAGGCATTTGTATCCTCTGTAATTTCTACCATGTTAATGCTTATAGGAAAATTACAAATACATTGTGGTGTTTTGAGATAACTACATTTAGTGACAATCATTTCACAATGTATGCATAAACCAAAACACCACACTGTACACCTTGAATATATGCAATATTTATTTGTTAATTATACTGCAATAAAGCTGAAACTAATAAATACAAACATCCTGGCTGTTTTGAGATTTTACACCTTGATACTTGTATTAATATTTAAAGTATAATTGTGAGAAGGCACAAAACTCTGAATGTTGCTTAAAAACATAAGACGTAAAAATGGAGTTTGTGTTAGAGAGAGTAATTAGTAATTAGTGAGTGCCAAGAAATGTGGGACTTAACTTTGCAGTAGCTGTGATGCTTCAGAAGAGAAGTAACTTTCCCCAAGCTTGTACAGCTCCTGCATTTCAGACCAGAGCTCTTATTTCAGTGAACAATGATCAAAATCAATTTCCACTCCTGGGCCACTTTTAACATGCAATCCAGCAGAAATGCTGTGTCTTACAACCCTATTATTTCCAATTTAAGTAATATAGCTGCTAGGTTTTAGATTTGCAATGGACCTTGATTCCTTGGAAGTAGTGGTTCTCAGTGGGGATAAGATTCATTGATTAAGTACCATTGGCTAACCTGGCATCTTCCTTCCAAGTGCCAAACTAAGAAGCATAGAGGGAGACACTAGATCATTGCAGTGCGAATGCATGTGCCGTGGCAACCTACGCATTCAGAGAGATAAAAAAAACAAAATTTTTTTTTCCTTTTTTTTAAATTCAGTCCATGTAGAGATTACCAAAAATTGCCAATGCCGACTATATTTCAAGTCCTCATGGCGGGGTACTGGGAAAAGTTTTCAATTAGCAATAATCGTGCCTCGAATAAACCTTATTGGCTTGATACTGCATTGTGCAAAGCTACCACAAAGATTCTTAAAGAAAAAATGAGACAGTTTACATAATTGTTTTGAGGTAATTCTGGCTTCAAGGATCAGTAACAAGGGTGGTACCAGTTTGTTTTTGAAATTTCATAATTTTTGAAATTATGAAATTTGAAATATTTCATAATTATGAAATTTCAAAAACAAACTATGAAAGGCATAATTTCTCTCTCCTGTCCTCATTTTTTGATATAAACAAATTATTAATATCATAATTTGCTTTTATAAAAAATGAGGACTAAAGAGAGAAATTGTGCTTCAAAACTTATCACACATTTGTCATTAAATTCTAGTCTCATTAATTGTTTTTTAAGCTTTTTGCCTACATTTTAGATTAACCCTGCTTGATTATTTGCATAAAGTGCCACAAGAATGGTTATTTCCACATAGGCCTTTTGGATTGGCTTTGATGAAACTCTGTTCCACAAGGAATCTCAAATACGACCTTTAAAGCCAAGCCCAGCCATGGGTTTGTATCCTCAAATACCTGTGAGCTGGGTGATCCTCTCCTCTTGAGGTCCCCAGATAAACTCAGAGCTCCCAGACCTGTTAGAAAGTGACATTCATTCTTCACTGACCACAGGTTAAGAATGCCGTGTGGAGACTGTAGACAAGGTATGAGGCAAGTTCTCCCCAAGGGGCTGTTATTGGCTCTGCATGCCAAGCTTGATTCCTTAAAGGGAAGCACACCCTTTCAGTCAAAGCCTCAGTAAAATAACCAGTTTTTCCAATTGTGTCCTATTGACAAAGAAAAATGGATTACCATTGCACTGATGCAAACAACTATATTGCAGTAAGTTAAGAGTACTCACAGGTAGTCTCCAAATTCTAGAGGAACCAGCCAGAGAAAAATAAACGTGCTCCAAATTTTGTTCACAGTAGTATACCTTACTCAATTACTAAAAGCCATAAATGGTTTAAAATAAGTTTCCTTGACTCTGAGAAACAAAATATGAATCAGCAATATTCCAAGCAAAAGTCAAAAAGGTTGGTTTTAACTTTCTGAGTGTGGTCCATTTAGTTAACTCTTATTTTGCTTGATATTTGTGAACATGTCAGTTCTTTAGGAGTCCCATACACTCTCTATTCCAATGTTACAATCTTCAAAGCTATTAAAAACATACATTCGGCCGGGCGCGGTGGCTCACACCGGTAATCCCAGCACTTTGGGAGGCCGAGACAGGTGGATCACGAGGTCAGGAGATCGAGACCATCCTGGTCAACGTGGTGAAACCCCGTCTCTACTAAAAATACAAAAAATTAGCTGGGCATGGTGGCGCATGCCTGTAATCCCAGCTACTCAGGAGGCTGAGGCAGGAGAATTGCCTGAACCCGGGAGGCGGAGGTTGCGGTGAGCCGAGATCGCGCCATTGCACTTCAGCCTGGGTAAGAAGAGCGAAACTCCGTCTCAAAAAAAAAAAAAAAAAAAAAAAAAAACATGCATTTGAGAACACCTGTTAAAGTCCTTAATATAGCTTGATTATAAACCATCTTTTGAGAAGGAACAAAGTAAGACAACAATTGTCTATGAATGACAAAATTCCAGGATAGTTACAGTTAAAAACATGACTGACAAAGAAGTTTATTTATCCTCATGGTTTATAACAACTTCATGCTTAATTGTGATTGACAGTATACACATCAGAATTTTAGAAAGCCCATACAATTTTGGAATATATATTAGTATTATTCACCAAAATATAACTTAAAGAAGATTGAGCATCATTTTGGCAATCTCATGTGACTAAACATGCCAAATAATCCTGTTTACCTCTTTTCTGAAGAGGTGCTCTGAACCATCCAAAGAGCCAGGCATCAGGAAGGACAGTTTCCAGATTGCCATAAATTATTTTGCCAAAATGATGACTCAAAAGGCAAGAACCTTTCATTAGCCTTTCCTATGACATGAAAATCCCGTTCAAATCCAAATTTACCCTTACTTTAGTTTGTGAATGTTAACGTCAATTAGTTTAAATGAAACTTTATAGATCATACTATCTAATCCCAACCAATCTGATCACGAGGTAAATTTTTACAAACCTTTTATAATCCTTTTTCTAAAGGGCAGATTAGTGTCTTACAGTCTCATTGCTATGTTTTTATTTCAATGCTCAGATTTTTGGCCTTTGAACTTTACAAAAGTAACCTCATAGGTAAAACAAATGAGCCTTAATTACGTTATGACTTAACTTCAAGTGTACAAAGTATTTTCAAAGGAGTGATAGACAGCTTTTTGTTGGAAATATATGCCAAGTGCCACCAAGAAAAATTAGTAGTGAGACAAAGGATCTTTCAGCAATGCAATTTTTACTTCCTGGATGGCAGGAAGGGTATTCTCACTAGTTATCTTGCCATAAGAGTACAAGAGTACAAACCAAGGAAAACACACAAATTTATCCCTTACACTTTTGGGGTCATCCTTACTGCTGTGTCTGATCTTATTAGCTGGAGCCAGACCTCACAATCTAAACAAAAACCCAATTGGCTAACAACTTCAAACTTATCTAAACAGGTGAAAGCAATGAAGAGCTGGGACATGCCTGTGAGCATGTCCAGTACAGATATCTTGGTTAAAGTACAAGGACATAGAATGTACTACATGCCTGTAAGCATGGCATGTCAAACAGCTACATAGGATAGGGCTTAAAGTTATTAGCACACTTATTCTTTAACAAGAAAGGAGACTTTAAAAAGGAACTTTTCTACTTCCCACATTTTGAAGCTGTCATTGCAAAATTGTGACTGAGACAGTGAAAGAGATCCAACTCAAACAACTTCATTTTGTTTCCAGCCCCCAAGCGGTCCTTGTCCATCCCTGAGCATAGGCTGAACCAGCTTTGTGAGGAGCCTGGTTTACAGTTTATAGTTTAAAGCAAAGATGATAACAGCCCATTCTTAAGATATACTTTCCTCTTGCTTGGGGAGCAGGACAAGAAACTAGCCATAAGATTAGAAACCATGGCTTAGGAGTCATGCAGCTGGAGGCTACAAGATTTTGACCCTCTCTAAGCTGCTCTCAAGATCAGTGCTTTATTGTAAACCCTGCCCTTCATGGGTCAGCTAGCACCACCCAGATTGTCAAACTGCCTTATCTGGTTTTGTGGCCCTCACCCAGGAACTGACTTAGGAAGACAGCCGCCATTGTAAAATGGTGGAGACTAAAACAAAGTATTGCCATGCTGTTACAGGTCATGTTCCCAGGGACGTGAAACAAGATGGAGGCCTGGAGCCAATTTTGTTCGTGACGATTGTGTTGGGTTGGCTTGAACAGCAGGCTTATGGCTCGTACTAAAGCATTTACCTGTAGAAAAATGGTCCTGGTTAACTTCCAGTCTTAAAATCTCCATATTAGTTAAGCTTTAAAGGAATGTAGGAATTGAGTGAGTGGCCATTTTCTTGCCAGTGGGACAATATCAAGACTGAAATTTGGCTACAGAAGACATCTTACTCCTAAGTGCTAAAGGCAGAAACTTCCCATTCCCAGGAGAGGCCTAGAACCTGTTTTCTACCAGGTGGCTTAGAAATACCATGTGCTCACCAGGGAAACCGTAGAGAGAGAGACATTTATTGAGTTACTGCCTGCCGCTATTCATGATCTTTTCTGACAAACCTGTTTCCCAGAACTGTAAAGATTCCTGCACATTAGACACACACAGACAGGGTAAAAGACTGCAGATAGAAGAGAAAGAAAGTTTGGCAACAGGTTAGCTGGAAGAGAGACTTGAGATTAAAGGATAGATTTAAAGTTGAGATCCACTCCATATGCACCAGTCTGTTGAGTGAATTTCATTTCCTAGCCCATGCACCAAAATGATACAGCTCCAATGAGTAGAGGAACACCAGGGCTCTTGGCTTGAGTCCAATTAAAGTGACACAGACACACATGGAGTGGTTTTAAGGAGTGTAGAGTTTAGTAAGCAAGAAAGAAGGAAGAAAGCATGGAGAGACTGAGGGAAGGGGACTCCAAAGTCGAAAAAGGAGACCCCAAGTGGGGCAGAAATCACCCAGGTATATGTAGAGGCTGGAGGGAGGAGGTGATGTCTGATTTGCATAGGGCTCAAGGAATTGGTTGGCCAGGCATGTCATTCACATAGCCTGTGAGAAAACTGGCCCTCCCACCCTAGCCTTTTACTATGCAAATGCAGGGTGACAGGATGTCCTACACATATGGGGAGATATGGGATGGCCATGTTGCCAGGCACACGTGGGGCAAGGGCAAGAGGGCCGCAGGAATCACCAGGTTTGGGTGAACCCAGTTTCTTTTTTTTTTATGTATAGAAACACTCAGTTTTACTCTCATCAATACATGATTTATATCACACTTTACATTTTTCTATATGTATCTAATAACAAATTATTTAAGCTATATGTATTTTTAATACTTCTGTCTTGTAGCTTATTTTATTGCATTTTAGGTTTTGGGGTACATGTGAAGAACATGCAAGATAGTTGCATAGGTACACACGTGGCAGTGTGATTTGCTGCCTTCCTCCCCTTCACCTATATCTGGCATTTCTCCCCATGCTATCTCTCCCCAACTCCCCACCCCCTGCTGTCCCTCCCCTATTCCCCCCAACAGACCCCAGTGTGTAGTGCTCCCCTCCCTGTGTCCATGTGTTCTCATTGTTCAACACCCACCTATGAGTGAGAACATGTGGTATTTCATTTTCTGTTCTTGTGTCAGTTTGCTGAGAATGATGTTCTCCAGGGTGAACCTAGTTTCTAATGGCTGGCATTTGCATATCAGTTGCTGGCCGAGTTCTAAGAGCTAGTGCTTTCCAGATAGAAAAGAAACATTGGCGAGGGAGGACTCAAGATGGCGCTGTGAGAACAACCCAGGATTGGAGCTCGCGTTGAATCCGCAAACGGTGAGTCAGAGCTGCATTTCCAGACCGATCTTTGTTGCCCACAGAACGGGGAAACTCCCAAGTATAAAAAGACACGGGACGCCAGGCAGTAGGTCTGCCTGGCGAAGCCGG